GAAACAACGATTCAGAAGTGAGCATATATGCACATGCATAAAGATCGACCTTTGTAGAATCCCATGATGCCCTCAGTGCGCCATATCATTGGAAAACATCCTCTCAACGTTGGTGGTGCACCAGGTTGCGTTTGAATTCGAACCTTAGTTGCTTCCATTGGTGCAAGCATAATATCGGCGAAGAATTCAGCTGATGCAGATGCAGCCAAATACAACGTTGTTCTCCATTGATAGGAAATTTCCTTAAGATGCAAAATCGGATAAGATAAACACAGCAGTACACTTCATACCCCATAGCACTGTAATATGAACAGAACAAAACACGAATGAAATGAAGCGTATAAACATGCATCATCAACCAATCAATTACTTACTTCACCAAGAAGTTCCGAATAGAACAGTTTGAAAACCTCGTAGAAACCGAACTTGCCCAAACCTTGCATTGAATAGCCGTAGAATGTTGGTGCCCATCCTTTAGAAAGAGCAGTGAATCCTTCTTCTTTAATTGTTGTTTTGAATCCACTTATGATACCCTTATATTTAACTGGATCGACCTGAAGTCGAGTAGATGTTAATATTGATGCTAATGAATTAGTAAAATTGAGAGTGCAAAAACAAACGAAGAAATAACGTTCATCACAGCTAACCTGAATACGACATTTGACGAGATCAAGTGGTACAATTGACGTATGTGTGGTACCACATGAGATAATACCACCAAGACCACAATATGCAAAGAATTGCAACGATCCATATGGCACTTCACCAGGTGCAGCTGAACAAAACAACACAATCAATCGCTTCTTTCATTCAGAAAATAAATGTCTCACTGAAATGTAATAAATACTACAGACGCTCTCTCACTGTTCTCTTTGAGCTCAATCTTTAAAATTTCCCAATGAAAATGTCCTAAATGAGAGCTGGAGGGTACTTCTAGAGCAATCCAAATCATAGATGTTTTCTTAACCTTCAGATATTACCAGAAAATCGCTCGCTCATTGAATGACAAGCAGGAGCATAGGCGCGACTAAAATTGCTAGCTAAAAACAGTGCTATGCAGAACCTCCCTAATTCGCTTGACACTACTGAGACCAGGCTGCGTATGAACACATTTCATTACACCTACTATGAAAAGAAGTTACGAAACGAAATAACAAACGCTACGTTTATTTAGAGCTATTAAGAAAAGAAAAATGAGGAATAAGAATGTGGGTGTTGATTCACATACTGACATATAAACTAAGATCAAGAACGAACAAAACGACCTTGAATGAGTTTTGTAGCAATGGTACTACTTACAAGATGGTATGATGCTTTCATCAAATATTGAGAAGTATCCCAACTGTAGAGGAACTGTGCAATACCATCATAAAGCAGTGCAACAACATGAAAATACATAAAAATCCACATGCATACGATTACAATTACACCCGACCATGATGAGATTTGTCGACGATAGCGTTGCAATCGCATGCTACATCGATAATCAAACCAATTCTTCGCTCGTAACAATAGAAACGGTTGTTTTGACAACGTTTCTGAGGTCATCGCATATCCCTTAGACACAACGTATATCACGTTGTTATTTTAAAAGCAACGACAACAGACATCAACTAATCGAAGAACCTTGTTCGCAACCAACAAGCAATACGATTTAACTTTTGATGCCGCTGCTATCTGTTTGTCCTTTCTTCAGACCTTAACAAGTACATCCGCATCATCTATATTCATGCCAGCATCTCGTGAAAACAAACAAAAGCGTCGTACACTTAGGCTCGGATAAAGCAACAACACAATACTACACGATGATCACTATTCACTCACTGATCACTATCAAATCCAATAATCTCTTAGCATAACATAAGATCACACAAAAATGTGCCCATGAATACATCCCTTTTACATTTAGATGCTGCAATTGATTCAGTTTTTCACACTATCGTCATAATTCAATACCTGTGATGCCTTTCCCAGGAATAAATTATTACAAAAAACTCTAGCAAAATTTGGTTACTCATCAAACACGAAAAAAGTCAATCAGATAGATAAATGCGATGTCGTGTCTTGCCACAAAACTATCCTTCTCGCGTTTTCGCAAGACAAAGCAAATATTTTTACACCTTTCTTGCAATGAAACGAAGAAACGGATAATGAACTAGCATAACTGTTGAAAATAATATCAAACAACGCGAACAACCACTAAATAGAAACAAACCGTACTTGCATGTTGATTATGTCATATGTAAGTACTCAAAAAGAGCTGATCAAGTCAGCCTACTCTACCAAATTCTACGATTAGCTCTCACTTGCAATCCATAATCTAATGTAACACAGATACAGCATACGAAAAAGGAGCGTCATGTATATACTACACGTCTGTAATAATGTGCACATGAACAATGCAGATGAAAGGCAACGGTAGATAAACGTGTGACGACAACGTGGCAATAACAACGACAATTGTCAAAATGTATAAGATTAGAATAGAAACATGATGGGGTGGAGAAGAAGACGAGACCTATGTAGTGTGTGCCACGTTTTCAAACAACATGATACAACTGTGACAGACTTAAAGTGAAAATTTAGCGGTATTCATAATCACACTTCTTTAGGATAGTTCAAAACCTAATGATCTCGCATCACGTTACTTTATGCAGATTGAAAGCAGCGAGCTGTTCTACTGCTTCGCATTCAGTGGACTTGAGATAACTAAACATAAGTTGATTTGTTAACTTATGAAAATTAATCGATCGCTTATGTACAAAAATGAACGAATGCTTGAATATAATCACTTTGAATAGCTTCATATCACTCTGAATCCAAAATATTTTGAAGGCAATGATGTCAATTAGGTCAAAAAAGATTTCGGGTACTGAAGACCACCCATGAAAAATATACGCTTTGGAAGAGCGCGATAATCTGTCGCTTCGAATGACCTTGAGGTGGATAGATATGCGTGCATATCAGCAGCAATCAACAATGAATGTAGACTGTTTCGTTTGCGTCTATTGCGTTGAAGCAGCACAGAAAACGGTTCTAAATGTGCACAAGTAGAGTGAGATAAGGAGAGAAAGACGACTGACGTGAATAAAAACAACTGTTCTGAAAGTGCACGCTGGGTTTGTTATCTGCGAGTGTAAGATGAATGATGATGCAACAATGTTTCGTAAACGTTCACACCATCATTATGCTACGGTATACTGATGAAACCTCGAAATAAATTATTCCATGTAGAATGTTTCATGTGCATGTCAATTCTCCATGAAGACTGAACCAAATTGCGTTCATTCATATTAGTGACGATTTAAAACGTGCATTCAATGACTCAAAAAACAAGTGCATCATTCGACCACATAATAAATGGCTCTGAAGTAACTTCATCATGCATCGACTCCACTTTCTGCATTTGCATCTCGCCATACGCACTGTTAGCACAGTTACCTGCTTCTCTCTCAGCACTGGGCGATAATCAATTGAAACACTCTTATTAACTGAACTGAGATCATGAAAATGCAACACACAGTGCATGAAACGGATCTGCCGTAGGCTTCAAATAAAACTAATATGTAAGTGTATCAAGAAAAGGTTCCGAAAAAAAGTATGTTGTATGCGACCAATGAGGTATAACTTCCTAGCCGAGCTGTTATAACAGAACGTTTTTTTAGAGTTCACTTATCGAATATTTCTGTTGAGAGAGATGAAAGTTCAACTGACGATATGAATTATAATTCTATGATAAATTGAGTGGAGATCATGGCGGCAGCATTTAGAGAAATACAAATCATAATCAGGAAATTTCATGCGACTTCCTCTCTGTTACTGTAAATGATCTCAAACTTTCGCTCAAAATGACTACTCATTTTGCAGCAATAATTTAATGGTATATCAACAACAAAAGATATGATTACCAGTTGAGGTGTACTGCACAAAATCGATAAAGTGCCAACTGCTAGAATATTATTGCGTGTAGTGCATACAGAAGACAGCTGGTGAACAGACTTGCAGAAAGATGTTTATTTTACAAGGAACGACAGACTTTTCAGTGAAAATAAATTTTCGAATGAGAAGAGAATACTGTAAGCGCTGAAAACAGAAGAAACGAGCAAAATTGGCACTCACATTGATAACGGCATTCTCCCTTGCGGACGAGTGGCATTCCAAATGGACTGCGTTTAGCAGCTTCTGAGAATTGACTCAGTATACCCATTGTGTGCTCGAAAACGATTACCTGAAATTTTGAATGTATTCTGAACGGAACCTTTGCATCGTTTTCAAAAACGTCGAATGAGCACGCAGAACATACGAGTGCTTTGGTCACATAATCAATCAACATCGGCATTGCCACCGGCACTTGCAGTTTTTTAATCAATTACCACTCACTCCTATTCAAAGTCAGTACTACGAACTTTCAATGAGCAGCAACGCACTCAGCTACGATACTTATACACACTGATAATCGTATAACCGTGCAAAATGTTCGTATAGGTTCGTATCAATCGGTTCACTCTTCAATCCAAGACGCATCTCACTAACAAACAAGCGAAATTGCCGCTGAAGCAGCCAATACCACATCGATCAGCAAAGTCAAACAGTTTATTCCAAATACAAAATAAATGTGCCAGCGTTAGAAAATGAGCATTAAAAATAAATAACGACTGGCAATAACGGTTAAGTCATTGATGACTGTAATAATGGACCCACGAAGTATCAAGTATCAATCAAATAAACAATCAATGACTAAGATTACAAAATCGCAACACCACTTTATTCAAGTTTTGATTATTTTTCGCCTGGAATTTGAACAATTTTGTCAAACAAGCCCAACACCTGCCTTTGGCCGAAAGCATGGAAACGATCAAATGTCGACAACCATTTCTCTCTTTCTGTTCACTAAAAACTTCACTGACTGGAAAAATTCAAGAGAGCCGAAAGAGATACCAATGGTAACAGTGGCAGCATTAGCAGTAGCAACAGAACAGTTTAAAATGGTGGAATTGACATGCCGGCGATGGATGTACTGATAGGTGAGTGTACTAGTTGCGGACTGAAGCGGATAAAGTTTAATTGAAGTATGCAAGTAAGCGAATGTCATTTCGAGGATTGACGGAAAAATAGAAGGAAGAGACATGGACGAGAATGACGTACAGAGGTGGGTAGCTAGATAAGTAGGTTGGTACGAAGTTACATACTGAAGCCGAATGGAATGTATGATCGAGAGAACTAGACGATAAATATTACTTATGTGATCCTTCAAACGCCATTCTAAAAAAAGTGGGACTCTTGTTGGTGCTGTTAACTTGAAAGTCACTTGAAAATGAATGCGAAACATCAATGAATCATAAGTTACTGATTCAGTTGTTATAATTATGAAGAATAACACTCTGCATGACATCATAATTGCGACAATGAACAACTCTAAAAGACAGAATAAATAGCTGATGAATTGTATTCTAAGTAATTCTAGTTTCAAGTGGCGGCAGCCATCAACAAAAACATTCGCGTAGCGGGGGATAAACTAGATCTGATAAGGTCTTTTTTAATGCAGACATCAGACTACGATTGGCCAGGCAGACCATATTCAAAGGATAACAGTGATTTGTTAGCATTCACGAACGAATGCAACCCCAACAAAACATAATGGAATAACATTTATAGTTTCTTTTTAGGTGCGATAACAATAACAACAATAATAATAATAATCATAATTATTGTAACAACAATAACTCTTGTTATAGAAGGCCAAACTGGAAGATAGGTTGAACGATAATTGTAATCGTTTAAGAAAAGAATCCATTAGTTTCTCATTTGGTCGGATGGTTAGTGATGCGCTACACAGCATCAGTAGCAGCGTCATCGATGATCCACATTTCACTCCTGTACCTAACTACAAAATATATGGAATGTAGGAGTGAAAATATAGGAGTGAAATACAAAATATATAGGAGTGAAATGTGGAACGTTATTCAGTTCAGTTTATTTCTAAGCACATTTTAAATTACTGATGAAAAAAAATGAAAAAATGAACAGCAATCTCAAGATAATGTTCTAAAGGATTGAAGAAAAGTGGTACAAGATTGAGAGAGGAGTGATGATAGTTGTTCAGATGTGTATGACGATGAATGTGTGTGATGAAAACGTGATGCAATGAAGCTTTTTTGATGGTGTACTAGATAAGATGGCGGTTGGTACGTATATGAAGATAGAAACACAGTTTGTGTTCGAGTTGTCGATGAAGAAATTGATTTTTTTCAACAGGAAAAAAATAACGAATGAAAAGATAAGCAAATATAATATTGAATAGATGGAAAGATAGAAACAAAATATTGATATACGTACATGAGATTATTCTTCATAGATAGACAGAAAATATTTCAGATTGATCGTTCGTATTTTATTCAGAAAATTAGCAAAAGAGAGTAGCAACAGTAGCACATAACATGTATCCCTATCCAGTAGGCAACAACACATACTCAAAATATTATAGCATCAGGCAATCTGTAAACATTGTGTGAGTGGTGTTGCAGTACATACAGGGATCTCCGCTTCAGGCTCATCCGATTTGATTCGACTGTCCTTTGAGGTTAGTTTTACCTTTAAGTTTACGTTAGAGGCGCACGTTTGGGCTTGAGTTTAGGCCTAATTTTTAGCTCACAACAGCTAGAATACATCCATTTATACTGCTATAAGCTATGAAGCCAAGATATCAAGTTGTGGTAGTAGCAGTAGCAGCAGTAAGTTGAACTTTCAAAGAGTCAATGAATTTTAGCTTGCGAATTTCTTCGACTGATTGGAATAGATCACTGGATGAAGGAATGAGCTAACGAATGGTGATATTATAGTTTAAAAGCTGCTCGTATTTCACCTAAGACAAACACAAAAAAACTTACAAACGATAATAATGAGCAAAAGAAAAAAGAATCACCACGACGAAACCAGAAATTCACTCGTCTTGCCGCTGCCAGTGCTGTTGCTGTGGCTGCTGCTACCTAGAGCTTTCTTCGCTTCATTCCTTCTCCTCACTCTCTGAATCAATCTCTAAAATCTCTCCAGCATCCAACAAAAATTTCACTGATTGACACGTATCATCGCATAGGGAATGCATTCACGACTACAGTTGTTCTTTCATGCGTTCAATGTGCTCAAAACTATTTGCGTATCCAACAATAAAAATTGTTCGTTTCATTTCGATCAATTCTGTTTATCAATTGTCACGTTTCAGCATTCGTTTAGTTGATTCGGTTGTGTCAACTGTACTCATAAGAAGACAGCTACTGAGTACGATGTAATTTTAAAGTACCACTCATATCACTTTACTTATGCAATTTTTTTGGCTTTTGCTTACGCCTATGGCTGATTTAATAAAGTTATACGAGAATTTAAAGTTATATTATTTAAAAGTTTATTTGTTTGCTTAAAATTACTTATTTATAAACAGCCCGATATTAAAGTTAAAGCATTGTAAAATTTCAAAATTTTGCCATGAGCGCATTTTAAAGTTTACATTAATTATTAATCCTCATGCAACCACAAGCGACTCTGATAAGTCAATGTAGGGTACGCTATGATATGGTATTAGTAGATTTGCATTTGCAGCTATTAACCTACTATTGCAAATACTAAACGTGAATTCAGCAAATACCAATGAGTTTGTTGGGATCACAAACAGGAATTCGATAAGTGAAAATTTTGGTACATTCGCGTATGTAACTGCAGTTATATATGTGAATGTACTTAAACACAATAACAGTTGGTTAGAATAAGTTGGACCAGTTGCTCGGAAGCCTAGGCATAAAATCCAAACTGCTTGCATGTTAAAAGCATAGCTAGAGGAGATCACCGAGATAAGATGCTGAACCGGAGTAGTCGAGCATTTTTTAAGATGGAAAAAACACTTTTATTCACTCATTCTCGTGAATGTAAAAGTAATGGATGGACAGAACGTGATATGATATAATAAGATCACATTATTTCTCAGTTGCCGTTCGTTGTTTCGTTAAAATTTTGGTCTCTTTTTTTTTTCTTCTTCATCACTTATCCATCTATTCATCTATCAATCCTTTCATCGATTCACCACACTCATTTCAAATGACGAATTAACTCGAGCTGTATCATCAAAAATACAACATTTTGTATTTAAAAACTATCCATTCGTTCGAAAACCTTAACGCTTTCACATCGAAATCATTCATGCAACAAGAATACCTTTAATAAACCAACACACTTTAAACATTACTCTTCGTTCAATTCCATCTCTCACGAACAATAACATCAACAACTACCTGAATTGCTTTCCACCTGAACTGAAGAAAGGATGAAACGGAACGAGATAAAGATAGGACCAAAATAGGTAGATTTAAACAGATAAATGGTAGGGATCATTAATTGCATGGTGGTAAAAGCAAATATGCATTAGACATAAGCAGGTATACGGTAGATATAGGCGGGGTTACGGTATAATAGAAATGAATAGATTTTCGGTGAATATGTGATACATGAGGATAAAACAAAAATAGAAACAAACAAACGATCGAAGAAGACGTCTTAAACTAGTGGTTCTCACGTTCAGGTGTTCCATTACTCATTTTGATGAGCTGGCACGTCGCCGTTACCTACCCCCTCCCTTCTCCTGATACAAAAACTTACAATTTCTACGTATAACGTCGGGAAGAAAAAGGAAACCGGTCCGGAAACTCCTCAGTGGCGTGAAAGAAATTAATTTTCTGGAATGAAACAAGTACTTTCTAAACTTTATTTATCCATTGCAGAATCAATATGAACCTCGGTAATCAAAAAAGAAAAGCAATGAAAAAAAACAATTTTCAGCGATAAAGAATGAAATCTGATAACAAGTTCAATACTCATGAAGAAGGAAGATGCAATAAACGTTTGAGGAATTATCTTCGAGATGAACGGAAAGGCAATCATTCCACCAAAGTGATGGTTAATGAATAAGTAAAAATTCATCGGAGGGATGAAAATAAATTCTAACTATCGAGCGTTCTGAGATGCGACTAGTGCATTAGGTCTGAAATTCCCATTCTACTTTTCAAGCATCAAGAAGTTCATAAGAAATGTCGTCGTTCATCACGGAAAAAGTATTATACCGGTTAAAAAAATATAAGCGATACAAGAATTAGAAATTGTAAAAATTGAAAAAAAAAGGAAATTGATATGCTCAAATTCAGAAATACTCCGTCGTCCTACGCCAAATCATTTTCTGTCGTACCAAAAAGATCAATCAATTCTTATTGCTCATGAAAGACGATGTCAGCCAATACATTGAAGCACTTACAAGACATTTCTGACTTTTGTTCAGGCCTAAACGAACTAAAGATACTCATAAAATAGGATAAAGACGAGTGTTTCCATGAGCGAGCCGCGTTTAGATATGCGAATGAAAAATACACCATCACAGTGGCGTCTCATCCTAACAAAACAACACGAAATGTTAGTTTTTCTCAATAAGTCCCCAATGTTAATGAGAGACGATGTCAGCCAATGCATTGAAGATCATACGAAACATTTGTGACTAAACAGACTTTTGTTCAGACCCGCATGAGCTAATGATACTCAGAAAATAGGAGAAAGAAGAGTGCTACCATGAACTTATCGCATCTACATACCCAAGTGAAAAAACACCATCACAATGGTGTTCTATCATAACAGAGCAATTGCACGAAATACCAATTTCCCGACCCCTCCGTTACCCTTCACGAGACCCCCAGATTACCCAAAATGGGTAATTTCACCCCGTATGAAAACCACTGTCTTATCGTTTGACGGACTTGCACATAGACGCATGCATGAGCTAATCACAGACAGCACAGTATTGAACAGACAATAGACAATGTACTATAAGTGGTTGCTGAACTGAATTGAATACATCAATAATGAAAATAATAATATGAACAACAATAATAATCTGATATTTCACACGTACAACAATATCATCATATGGGGAGTTGATCAATAAATCGATACAGTAAAAACAATCAAATAATCAACGAAGCAATAACTGCTAATCAAATTAATATGGTTTTTTCTATCAGCTTTGAGCTTATCATAAACGATGAAACGTAAGCTTATCATGAGGCAAGGGCGGCTGTGGTACATAGCACATGCTTATGATAATATTATTAATAATAATAGAAAGCATTCATCCACTTCACTAACTACTGATATTCTAATATATCTTCGTCGAGTCCGAATCAGTAGATATATACCTCATTTAGCTCGATAAAGCACCTACGACATAGCAGAATAAGGATGGATGAATTTATTCAGATAGTGTAATGTATGCATAAAATAAAAGGAAATTTAAAACCGAAAATTTAAGCCAGATGAACTTTTTCATACAAAATAATAATTGAAGAAAACAGATCGCGGGCTGAGAAAAATTGTGCTAGCAACTCAATGATTTGGTGTATCAGTATGATCGTATCGAAAAACGAACCGATTAGTTGCACATACAAAGAGATTACAAACAAATACTTTGCAATATCATAATCAACAGATACGTTCACATTCCAGACCTGCACCAATTTTCGCTCGTTTTTAACGTTTCGTCAGCACAATGACAAGAGTGCCGAATATTTTTGTACTATTATAAAGAATGAATGAGAATTTATTACTCATGAACAGAAATGAAATCATAAAAATAGACATTAATAAGCATTTAATCAGATACAGGTATACCTCACCTTACGTTGTTCCAAAAGAGGCGACTCAAGCTGAAAAACGACTGAAGTAAAGTTCACTTGTCACTAGGTTAAACCACATTCCCAGTTCTATATCTTATTTATAAGTACATTTTTACAATATACGATTAATAAGAATCTATTTTAAGCTTACAAACAAATACAATTCATCTATTTAATATAGTACAGAAAGAAAGTAGTCTACATTTACGAATACCTTTTTTTGACAAATGACGTGTAATCAAGAACGGCTTAACTCGAAACGACGTAAACTGAGGTATACTTGTATACGCAACGCAACGCAATATGATGCGAAGATGTGTTTTTTAACGAAAACATTAGTACAAAATAAAAGCAGTCGATTGCAAAAACACTATCATCATATCATTTTAATATGATAACATACCATCAAGCACTTCATTCGTTCATTTATTCATTTCAAATCATCACTTATTTGTTACTGCCATTATTTTTTGAATTACCTTATATTCTTAAAACTTCAAAAGAACTAAACGCTCAAAGCTAACCTATTAATAAATAGAGTCGTTCAACTGGACATGCTGCTCAAGTGCAAGCGTACGGCAAAGCTTTGACTTCTCGAAAAGTGTGGAAAATCGAATTGGAATAGCATTGAATATTGTTGCTAATTGTAAGTGAAGTGTTCGAGATTTATGCGTAAGGTTAAGATCAAACATAAAATTCTAAGTCTAGGTATAGGTTTAAGGCAACTAAAATAATAATGCCAATGATACAAATTACAGTTCGATCGATGCTCACTCCTATCAGTGGTCATTGACAATAGTAAACACTCATTACTAATTATCATTGTTGCAGTCTCCTTTGACTCGATATCATCATCATTACATATGTTGATCAATTCGTTCATGATTCATAATCCACTCATTTATCATTTTACATAAACGAGAGAATACAAATAGTATTGTTTTCTTCGCTTCATTTTTGAAATGATCCCAATGATTATTATTATCGTTATTGTAGTGATGAAATTTATGAGTGAAACAAAAATGAAACTGGAAAAGACAGTGTCATAAGCTCGCACAGGTGTAGTAGTACACATTAGTCTATTTTTGCCGTTGAAAACAAAAGCTTAAGCGTAAGCCTAGACACAAGCTAAAGCCTGTGTAACTCCTTAAAAATGCGGTACAAACATGAGGTAGATTATTTATTCATTCAGTTATTCATTTATTTATTTAATCATTTATCATAGTAACTAACAACAAGTTAAATAAATAATGTTTTCATTATTTAAGAGAGAAAGCAATGAGTTGATAAGATCAATCGTTACTGAGGTAAATAGAGGTAGTTAGCTCATGGGTGGTGAATGATACAATCGAACATACATAAATGAATATTAAAAATAAATAAATAAAATGAATATGAATATAATGAAAAGATGAAACTGTTAGTGAGATTACAACATTACTATCAATACCCATGAGAGTGCTATTATCATTACTTTCGCGAACACAGAACAACCCGAACACATGGAAAAATATGTTGTAACTTATTAAATGTTCAAACGATATGTTACTGCCTAAATGGTGAATAAATTTAGTATCAACAAAAGAAACAATAATAATTCATTGATGCTACTGTTCCTGTTGCTGTCTACAGTTTGCCTGCAGCTTCTAACTTTTTCTTGAGTGACGCAGGCATTTCTGGTGGTGGTGGACGGGGTAATTTGAAGGCCACTTTAACCGAATCATAAATGAACCACTGTGCCGCGGTTAGAGTACCAATCATTATGATACGCGGTACAAGTCCTTTCCAAAGACCTGAAACATCTTTTGTATGCAGTAATGTTAACTCACAATCACTTATATTATTTCAAAACTGCCGTTTAAATTCCTTGTTTACTTGATTAGCAAAGCTTTTCTGCAAGCTTATTTGGGTTTATAACCGATTTAATATCGTGATGTTCAGTTCACTATTGCTGCAATCATTTTATCAGCATTACTACTATTATCTATTATTATTATATCACGATTGTTAGTTTGTTCTTGCTATACCAATTATAACGAACCAGCGAATCCGAGTTTTTTGACGATGTCACCAGCAGATGAGCCAGAGTCCTGGTTGAGTTTCGAGACGATGGTATCGGCCGGATGCGAGACGATAGCACAGAATATTCCAGCAATGTAACCCGCAACGAATGTCACCACCAACTGTTCGGATTTGGAGCATTGTGGACGTGGTTTCGGTACGACGTATTTGTACAACAGCTCAACAGTTCGTTCGAAGCACGCAAACTTCATCATCGTGTATGGAATCTGTCGCATCCACAATGGTGGTAATCCCTTGTAAAAGCCCATCAGACCCTCCGTCTTGTATATCATCGGCGCACATCCACGCAATGTCGGCGGTGCACCCGGTGACGTTTGCACGCGCACTTTGGTCGCCTCCATTGGCGCTAACATCATGTCGGCGAAGAATTCCGCAGATGCACTCGCAGCCAAATACAACGATGTACGCCACTGATAGGACAACTCCTTCAAAGAAATCGTGTCGAATCCTCACAGAATAATCAAGTGAATTATTATAGCAATAAAATTAATGAGAACTAACCTCGCCCAATAAATCGCCGTAAACAGATTTGAACACCTCATAAAAACCGAACTTTCCTAATCCCTGTAATGAGTAACCGATCGCCGTCGGTGCCCATCCTTTACCAAGCGCGCGCACTCCCTCTTCAGTGATTGTTGTTCGAAATCCGCCAACTACTCCTTTGTATTTGGCTGGATTTACCTTAAATTTATAATAACAATACGAATAATAATAAGCCAGAGTCCTGGTTGAGTAATGATAATGGCTGAATAATAATAATAACAACAACCTGAATTCGACATTTCACTAAATCTAATGGAACAATCCCGGTATGTGTTATACCACACGATAACATACCACCCAACCCGCATAATGCATAATACTTCATCGATCCGAACTTGACTTCATCTGATTCACCTGAACATTAAACTTGAAAAATATTCAGACATGTAATAGTGATGAGAATAATAATATTACTATAATGAATATGATACCGTTTGTGGATGATGACGATGAAGAACAGCTGGCATTTCGAAATGTTGGAAGAATGGCATTAAAAGGATTATTACAGTTATTATCAGTATTATTACTGAAATTTTTTGATATAGATTCAATTAACTGTTTACCGTCGTACATTATTCCTATTATTATTGTCAGCGTTTATGTTGATACTTCTTGGTCTTTCTGTTCTTTATTACCTTCAAATATATTTTATAATAATAGCATTAAAAACAACAACAGTGATGACGACGGCAATAATAACAACGGCAGTCATAGTGATAATGATAATATCAAGTGATACCAATAGTTCGAGCCATCCATTCTACACGAATAGATTCTTATAAATTGATAGCTCGACAACTACCTGCATAAAATCACTCTGAAAAGATGATGAAAATAGTCTGAATAATGACTCCAATTCAATCACTTTAATCAGCACCTGGTTTTATTACTCATATAT